ATTCTTCAAAATCCATATCATATCTATTCTTGAAAAGGATCTGTGTCTTTCAGAAAAGTAGGTGTATTCTCTTGAATTGTCATTTTTCTGTTTCCATATATCCACAAGCCCTAAATTGTCCATCAAATCAAAGAAGACTTTTGGTAATTTGCCTTGAGTGATTTTAATATTTTACTCAGAAGTTCTATCCAGTTGTGGGGAGATCATTCCAGTCCCTCATCAAACACCAATTTTCATAAGAGAAACCTATTACTCTCTCCACAAGTCCTTTATAGGACAGTACTTTGTCCTCATTTGGGGCATAAATTCCCAATATCAGAGTCTTAGTCCCATGCAAATTAACATCCACCCCAACAAATCTGCCATGGTCACCAGTCAATACAAGTTCTGGTTTTAGTTGGGGATTTATATACAAAACAACTCAATTTCTTTTTTTAGCTCCTGCTGAAATAAATTCTTCACCCAAATTTTTATAAATCAAATATTTTATGTCCATTTTTCTAATATGTGTCTCTTGTAGGCAATTTTTTTTCAGATGATGATTTTTTTTTCTCTTTTGAGGAGTATTTGCTCCATTTATATTCCATATTAAGCATTTGTAATCCATATTCAAGCCAAAAATTTAGAAAAGTCGATACCTGTAGTGCCTAGTTCAGTATCATCCCTTTCACTTTCCTGCTGCACCTGCTGAAGTTTTTGTGTAGTCTCATATGACACCTCCATTTGAAATTCCTCCAATTCCTCTTTAAAATTTTCTAGAAATTCACCTTCTGGACAGAATTCAGGCAAAACCTCTGCTGTTTAAAAGTAAAAATTACGCCTTCCAATTTATCCCACCAAAATGGAATATTTTTCTGTTTTAATCCGTCAGTCAAAAAAGAATACTCTTTTCTCTTACACAAGATTCTAATAGGAATTTTTTAAAGAACAATTACATCTGTATTATTAATCTTCAGTCCTGTATTAAAATGTTACTGCAGAACTTGATCTCTTGTTTTCTTCCTGACAAAGTACATCAAAACGTCCCTTGGAACATTTCTTATTCTTGCAAATCTTGTATTTATTCTGTATAATTTATCAATTTCTGCCTCTGTATCCTCCTCATCCCAATCCAAAAAATTGCTAAAACTTTAATAACCATTTCTCTAATATCTTCACCAGAATCCTCTAGAATTGCTCTATATCTCAAGCAAAATTCCTTCTCTATCAGTTCTAGTACTGCCAAATTATCTATTTCTCTTTCCAGCTCTCTGTTCATAACTTCTGTCTTACTCTCCAGAATTTCCACTTTGTCATTGATTTGTTTTACATCTCCAGACACTTGTTCCACAGAGCTTTCCATCTTCTTGACTTCTTTCATCTCCTCTTTCATCTTTCATCCATTCTTTTTTTAAAAGCTGTCAATTTAATATCAAGTGATTCAGCCAACTTATTGCCCAATTCCTCAAACATTTTCCGAAGTAAATCTGATGTAATTCCTCTCTGCAGGTTTCTCTAGCGATCCTCTCCTCCCCTCTGCTAACATCCACTCCTTGTTAAGCTTTTTGCCAAAAGCTTTTAAATCTTTAAACCCTTTTTTTTTCCTTTTTAGTCCAGAAAGAAGGTTGACTCACCAAGTGGCATTCTCTTATCCTGCTGCTCAGAAAATCTCTCTTCACCCATAATTACATTCAAAAGTGTTTAAGAAAGTGTCCATATGTGAACCTTGTGTCCATATAGGCTGCATCATGGCTGTGAGCTTGATTCCTTGACTCCCAGCCACTCAACTCACAAGTTGACTGCACAAACCTCAGTTCCTGCAGTCTGTTCACAAGGGGCAGCTGTCCAGAGTGCAAATGGGCAATCTCATGATCTCTCCTTTATCTGGAAAGACAGCACCGGCCAGAATTCGCCATCTGGCTGCCAATCTTCACCTCAGTGCCATCCCCACTCTTCAGGGACATCTAGTCTGCCATAGATCCTCACCTGGAAGCCCCAATATAGATATTTGCAATGGAAAAACACTTCCTGCAGTTTGTATGTTAAGACATAGGAAAGATATATTTATTTATTTTTTCCTAGGCAAAGATTAGTTTTTACATAGAAATATTTTATATATTAAAATGCCTTCAGAAAGATAGCAAAGTAATGAATTTCTAATATGCTACTGAAGTACCCTGGGAAAATGCTTTCATGATCAGGAATTAAATTTTAGGTACTTAGAAACAAGTTTATTGTTGTAAGAAACTTTGTACATTGCTCCTAAATTAAAAACTTAATCTTGCTGTTGCCCTACATCATATTCTGTTAGTAATAATAATTGTGATTTTCTGGAACACATAATTCCTAGACTAGGGAAGTGATATAGTTTCACTAGTCATTGTTCTCAGGGGTTATAAGAGCTAGATTGTTGAAGCATTTGAATGGCTGGAATTAGATTCCAAGCTTTTTCATTTCAGCTCCTGGAAATGTCGTTTAACTGCCTGGACGATGTGGAAAGCACCATTCCAGTCAGCCCTTTGCACTTAGCTGTAAGTCTCATTGTTAGAAAACCATACTGGGTACAGTCGGGAGATTTTAATTTCAGTGATTACCATTTGAATGCCAGTGTTACATTTGTTGCCTTGAGGAGAGTGGACCTAAACTGTAGGTTTGCATCAGTGCATTAAATCCCTCTTGATACTATAGCCTCCAAAAATCATTCTGTCTGTTGGTGTGCTTTAAGGCCTATAATGGTCACTGTGAAGCCCTGAAGACACTTGCTGAAACCCTGGTGAACCTGGATGTGCGGGACCACAAAGGGCGGACAGCTTTGTATCTTGCCACGGAGAGGGGCTCTACGGAATGCGTGGAGGTGCTCACCAGCCATGGTGCTTCTGCTCTTGTGAAGGAGAAAAAGAAGAAGTGGACACCCCTCCATGCTGCTGGTATGAGTGTGCCTTATTCCCTGTTGAGATGCTGGGTTTCTTTCTCTTGGTTGCTCTTGCAAACAGACTTTGGGCACTGACTGGGTCTTTACAGAAATGGCAATTATTAAGAAGCAGGAAATCCTGTGCATTATAGTATATCCTCCTTTTGTTTCTTACAGCTGCCTATGGGAACACAGATTCCCTACATCTTCTCATTGACAGTGGGGAGAGAGTCGACATCACTGATGTCATGGACATCCATGGACAGTAAGATTCCACCCATTTATACACCTGTTTATTTGGCCTAGAAGTCATTCTTATTCCAGTGGTGAGCAAGAAGGGGCTTGTTCCTCACAAATTCCAGTCTGCTGTACAAATTATCAGAAGCAGGGCTGCATGTTCTGCTAGCTGGGCTCTGAATATCTCTAGGCAGTAAGGGGCTGGATCTGGGAGAGCCAACTGAAGCCCAGCGCAGACAACAGAGAGTTCTTACTCATTTGGGAGTGGGCTTCAGGTTTGAGGAGAAATACCTGAAATATATTCCCCCTTAAAGATTTGGTGTGCAGTTTGGGGGTCTTTCTAGATGCAGCATCGAAGTCGGGGAGTCAAGTAACATCAGTGAAAAGGGGGGGGTTCTGCCAGTAAATCAACTTCTTCCATTCTTGGAGGGGAGACAGACGGCTTTGGTGATTTACAGTGGGGCAAAAAAGTATTTAGTCAGCCACCAATTGGGCAAGTTCTCCCACTTAAAAAGATGAGAGAGGCCTGTAATTTTCATCATAGGTATACCTCAACTATGAGAGACAAAATGAGAAAAAAAATCCAGAAAATCACATTGTCTGATTTTTAAAGAATTTATTTGCAAATCATGGTGGAAAATAAGTATTTGGTCAATATCAAAAGTTCCCATGCTTCACGGTAGGTATGGTGTTCTTTGGATGCAACTCAGCATCCCATGCTTCACGGTAGGTATGGTGTTCTTTGGATGCAACTCAGCATCCCATGCTTCACGGTAGGTATGGTGTTCTTTGGATGCAACTCAGCATCCCATGCTTCACGGTAGGTATGGTGTTCTTTGGATGCAACTCAGCATCCCATGCTTCACGGTAGGTATGGTGTTCTTTGGATGCAACTCAGCATCCCATGCTTCACGGTAGGTATGGTGTTCTTTGGATGCAACTCAGCATCCCATGCTTCACGGTAGGTATGGTGTTCTTTGGATGCAACTCAGCATCCCATGCTTCACGGTAGGTATGGTGTTCTTTGGATGCAACTCAGCATCCCATGCTTCACGGTAGGTATGGTGTTCTTTGGATGCAACTCAGCATCCCATGCTTCACGGTAGGTATGGTGTTCTTTGGATGCAACTCAGCATCCCATGCTTCACGGTAGGTATGGTGTTCTTTGGATGCAACTCAGCATCCCATGCTTCACGGTAGGTATGGTGTTCTTTGGATGCAACTCAGCATCCCATGCTTCACGGTAGGTATGGTGTTCTTTGGATGCAACTCAGCATTATGATGAAAATTACAGGCCTCTCTCATCTTTTTAAGTGGGAGAACTTGCACAATTGGTGGCTGACTAAATACTTTTTGCCCCACTGTATGTGCTGGTAACCCCAATGATTGATTATTATGATATGCTTTTTGTGGAGCAACCCTTCAAGCTACTCCAGAAATTCCAGCTGGCCCAGAGTACAGAGCATAGGTAGTAAGTGATGCCTCCGTGTTGAAACAATTTTAACGGCTTGCCTCCAGTGCCTAATTCAGGGTTCCCGCAAGGGTGCATAAAGTCTTACATGGCTGAAGACCAAACAACTGACATGGCTGCCTCTTCTCATATAGTCTGCTCTGCACTCTCTGATCGCCAACAGGCAACTTTTGTGTCTCTTCCCATAGGGACATCAGATATCTAGAATGAATTTTGCTTTCTCCACAATGGGGCCCGTGTTGTGGCACAAACTGTTAGCAGAGTTTAAGCCAGCCCTCTCCATTTTACAGTTTAAGGAGGAGCTCAAAATTTACTTGTTTATTTGGGTCTTTTAATAGTAATGTTAATAGTTTTAGTGAGTTTAATGTTCTAATTGTTTTAAAATGTGCTGCTTTGTTGTTTTAATCATTTTCACGGTCTGTTTTAATTGTATTTCTCTAAAGGAGTAGGTGGCATACAAATATTCTGAATAAATTAAAATCTTTCCTGTTTACTTACTTACTGACACCACAGTCAGGATTGATTCCTAGCAGTTTACAGTATAATTATAAACAGAACATCATTAAAACCCAAAATATAGCTCTATACAAACCTGGCCTCAATCCCAACTCCAAATTGCAGCAGTTAAGATTCAGAGGCCTTACAGGAGAGCTCGATTTTTACAGCCTTTCAAAAAGATTCAAGAGTGGATGCTAAACATCTTGGAGCACCATAAGAGTACTAGCAAAATGACTAAATGGAATATTTAGCTTCCTGATAGTCTCAATCATGTTCAGGGAAGAATAATTTTTTTGTGAACATACATGTTAAATAATATGAGGAGATGGTGGAGGTAATCTTAAGCCATATCCCTCTATTTGATCCAGAAGAAGGTGTCCTAATGAATTCAAATATGCACATTTGTTTTATCTGAGTAATTTTTGGAATTTTGAGATTAGTTCATTCTGTTGATCACCATGTTTAATGCCAAACCCTCATCTTCTGCTTGCTATCTATAATGAAAAAAACCCTAGAAGTGAGAACCCAGCTTGTTTCTATTGAAGAAGAGGCACTGAAATAACTTGTTTTTTTTAAATGCAAAGCTACAGCTAGAAGCTTTCTCACTGTATTCCACCCAAATGGCTTTTCCATTTCTGCTACTTTTTCTTCTTTTCTAAAGGTGGCAATAGCAACTAGAGGCTCTTATTCTATTTCACCTTGGCTTTCTACATGACACCTGAACAGGAATGCACAATTTAAACTTGTAGAATTGTTACATTTTTTAATGTGACTACTAAATATATGGAGGGTAACCATATCAGTAGTATTTAATTACATTTTAATCAGAATTAAATAATTGAATTCAAATTTAGTTTAGTCCTGTTGCCACTCACTTTTTGGGTTGCAGTTCCTGGCATGACACTTGGCAGCCCTCAGATTCGACAACCTTATTTTCCAACCCTTGAAAATAATCAGAACAGATTAATAAAACTGTAATTGTTTTGTAGAACCTTGCTTGGAATGAAAGACTCTTTACTTTTGAGTTTCCCTCTTATTTTAACATCTGGGGTACTCTCTGTCCATTCTGCCCTTCCATAAAATAGATCTTGTTTTCTAAATTAGGGATGAGCTAAATTATAATCAAATCAATAGGTGCCTGACCTATTCTTGATTTTCTCACAGAACCCCATTGATGTTGGCAATCATGAATGGCCATGTAGATTGTGTCCACCTCTTACTAGAGAAGGGATCCACAGTGGATGCAGCAGACAGAAGAGGCAGGACTGCATTGCACCGGGGAGTAAGTGGAAGAATTGTTTTTGGATTCTTAGGTTACTAAATTAGCTCTACATTGAATTGGTTGAACAAGATCCTGAAAGACTCTTGTAGTCATTGATGTGGAAAATTAGATATTTAAGCATTCCACACTTTCAGCTAATTAGAGCATAGTGGGTAGTTCACTATATGTTTCTCATCTTTTGAGTAGTCACATTTGTCTTCGATTCCAGAGGGCATATTTGGAATTTGCTATACAGGTAGTCCTCACTTACTGACCATTTGTTCAGCCACCATTTGAAGTTATGGTGTTGCTGAAAAAATAACTTTATGGGCCATTTACAACCTTTGCAGCATCCCTCAGTGACATGATCACCATTGCTGTGAGTATGCATTGTCCTGTACCTGACCTGTGTTTTTTTCTGTTTTTCTCCCCCTTGCAGAACAGAGAGATTGGAGAAAGAAATCTCTTCTTCTTGAAACAGATTTCAAGAGAGTAAGCTGTTTGCTCTTCTATGCATCAAGAGCAGTGTAATCACTCCAGCAGCCCCGGGCTGGGAGCCGCAGGTGCACTACACAAATAGCTTACGGTACTCTCTTGAAATGTCTTTCTCTCCAGTATCTCCTCTCTGTTGGGGGTGGGGGGACAAAGTGATTTCTGTAGGCAATCTCTCCATTGTCTGACCCTCCCCCCCTTGTAGAGCAAAGAGATTGGAGAGGGACTTCAAGAGAGTAAGCTGTTTGCTCTTTTACACATTGAAAGCAATGTGATTGCGTCGGGCCACAGGAAAGGGTAAGGAAAAGAGAGATTGCCTACAGAAAGCTACTGTGTTTTTCTCCCCCCGCCCCACAGAGTGAAGAGATTGGAGACAAAGGGATTTCAAGAGAGTGAGCTGGTTGTGTAGTGCACCCGCAGCTCCCAGTCCCAGGCTGTGGTGCGATTGCATTGCTTTCGATGTGTACAAGACAGTAAGCAGGCACTCAAACGTTCCAAAGGGCAGGGGAGTGGTTAGGAAGCAAACAAATGCAGAAGGCATGAAACTGAGTAGTCTTGTCTCATTCCAGCCAGAAAGCACAGTTGCAGTCACATGATTTCCCACTTAGCTACCACTTTGCTTAATGGCAGAATTGCTGTTCCCACTTAGGGTTGTTAAGTGAGGACTACCTGTATGGATATTGTTGTGGACTTGCTTGTGCTGGAAAGGAATATTTAGGCAAAAGGGATGCTAGTTAAGCAGAGTCAATCCTAATAAGAAAAAGAAGATAAAGGTTTCTGTTGGTTATAATCAAAGATTTATTGTTATTATTACATGGCACTCAGATTGTTAGTGAATAAAGAGAATATTTTGAGGCCCTGTTTTGTAAGTCTTTTTCCACTTGAGATGGACACTTTTTCTCATTGCTTACTGTTCTTTTTTGTAGGCTGTTACTGGCTGTGAAGACTGCCTTGCAGCACTGCTGGACCATGATGCCTTTGTATTGTGTCGGGATTTCAAGGGCCGGACCCCGATCCATTTTGCCTCGGTGTGTGGGCATTCTGAAATCCTGAGGACCTTGCTGCAGGCAGCGCTCTCTACTGACCCTCTGGACTCCGTAGTGGATTATAGTGGCTACTCACCAATGCACTGGGCTTCTTACAGTGGTAAGAATGCAGAAATCCATGCATATTTCCCTTTGTTTTTTTTTCTTGTGGCAGGGAGAGACTATCCAAATATCTGTCCAGTTAAATCACTGTTACAGCACTGAGCAAGGTTAATTGTTACAATATGATGTGCTGGTTGCAGCATAACAACGGGTTTTCAACAATTTTATGCCATATGTTTTCCTCAAAGATGATTATATCTCCAGTAGATTCAGTGTCTCAGTAGACTGTAGGAGTTTCTAGCAAACAGTGTAGGACAGACCTTCCCTTCTCCAACTCATGTCAAGATGCTTTAGACTAGTGGTAGCAAATTGCTTATGGCTGGGGAATGCAGTTTAATTTCATTAGAATCCCAAGTGCTGTGGGATGTATGGATGATGTCAGCATTTTCTGCCTACAGGGGCGATTTTGATGGGCAAAATAGGAGCTTTGCAATTCCCAAGCCTTCCAAAAATTCTACTCGAAATCTGCTCTCAGACCCAAAAGGAATGCTGTGGGTCACATGTGGCTGATGGGACAGCTTACTCACCCTTGTTCTAGATTGTATCATGGCCATACTGGCTGTAGTTGATGAAAGGTGAAGCCTTACCATTCCTCTTCAGCGTACTAATCTTTTCAGCTGTTATACTGCAGGAGAATTCAATAGTTGTGGGTAGCTGTCTTTCTGGCAAGCATATCTGCTATCACTGACCTTCTCATTGTGGATCATCTGATAAGCATCTCAGGAAACTGTGGGTTTTTTGAAAACACAACTTAAAGTTCTTGTGAGGGAATAGCAGAAGTTGCTTCTTGGGAATACAAGATCAGAAGCTTTATTTTTTTTTTGCATTAAATCACAGGATTCATATATTGATTTTGATTTAGTTTGTATTTCTGTATTTCAATCCAGAAGAATTTTCTTGCTCTGGGGTACTGTTCTGAAAGGTATCTCACCTTTTGAAACTGAGCTTTTCTTTGTCATGGTTTGCATATCACATTAAAGCAGAAATCCTGTCTTAATCTAGAAGGTGAAAAAATGGCATGCAGCTGATTCCCAATCCTACCCTGTGGGAACAAACCCAACGACATATGCAACTTTCTGCATTTAAGTGTAGCTGAAATAAACACACAGCTATGGGCAAATGCTTGCAGTCAAGCCAAGATTCATAATGCAACTCTAAACTCCAATTTAAATCTGACTTCTAATCTTGTCTTGTTTGGAAGCACTTCACCATAATTCTGAGTTGAACTGTGTTGAAGTGTCAAATTCCTGATTATTGTGATGCTTAGATAAAAGAAGGAACAGTGCTGTAGGAAAGGGTCTGTATGTTGGGTGCATGTCTTGCATTCACACTTGAATTTATTAAGCCAAGATTTTTTGCCTGTTATGACATGTAAACACTGCCTTTGTAACAGACTGGCTCATTTATATCAAGATTTAGAAAAGTGTGGCTATTAATTTCCAATTTCAGCCTGTTTTGAAGTTCTCTGAACTTCTGAAAGATTTAAAAAAGAGCTAGCTCATACAAAGACATTCTTGATTTTGCATATAAAAATGCCAAGGTGATCTAATAAATTCTCTTATCCTTTTGCAGGGCATGAAGATTGTCTTGAATTGTTACTTGAACACAATCCATTTGCATACCTAGAAGGAAACCCCTTTACTCCATTGCACTGTGCAGTGTAAGTTTTGGTAGACCCTTGAGATTAGGTGTATGTTTATGCAAATGCATTAGGATCAGCCCTAGTAAGCAAAGCTAGATGTGGATTTTCTTTTCAATTAGAGTTTGAAACTGTCTCTCAAAGCTGCATTCCTGCTCTGGATAATCCTTATGCCAGGAAGTAGCTATTGAATTCCCAGAATCACCAGTGTATGTGTAGAACCTCCCTTGGTGCCTCACCTGACTTTTAGGTTTTTAGGATTTTATAAAATTACAAATAATGATAAATGACAGAATGAATGTGGTAAAGCAAAATGCCAATTTTCAATATCAGCTCTCTTTCCAAGAGTACTTCTGGGCCTCAAATGGACTGCACTGGAAGTCTTAAAACAAAAATAAAATTGGCTGTTTTGGCAGCCCAGACCTCTCACAAGAAATGTACTTGCCCAGAAAAGAAGACAAAGTTATTTTTTTCACCCAAAAAGGAAGTGGCTAGCAGGGCATTAAAGTTGGTTTTAGTGGTGGGGATTTTCTCGAAGGGACTGTTGTCCAAAATCTGAAGTATTTTGACTGCCCTGAAAACCCAAAAAATTGAGTTTTCCCCATCTGTTTTGGACCTCTGAAACCCAGACTCGGTAGAGAGGTCTTGAAATACTTTTGTACCTGTGTGTCCCCCCGAAATAAATAAAACCAACCCATGCTAACTTACTTGCTTCTCACTCTTTCTTTCTTCTGCAGAATTAACAACCAGGATGGCACTGCTGAGATGCTTGTTGAAGCATTGGGTGCCAAGATTGTTAATAGCAGAGATGCCAAAGGAAGGTGAGTGACTGTGTCTTCTTGCTGGTTGCTTTTGGTGGACACACTACTTATATTACCCCCTCCTAGAATTCATTAGATATCCTTGATCAGACCATGATTTGAATGGGAGGCATCCCTTAAATATATACTGTAGAAACTAAAGAAGTTTAGCAACATGGATTTTGGAGTCGTACTCTTATAGTTTCTGTCTTATGCAGTGCAAAAACCCAGGGTCCATTCCATGAAGTTGGATGATACGAGATTCAAGACAGCTCAAATCTGGTTGGCCACTATGTGCATCAAATGCTGGACAGATGGGATTTTGAACTGATCCACTCTAGGGATTCTTGTATGTGTGTGGCAGGGGTCCATAACTTTTTCCAGGCTTGGACATGCTCACAAAATTCTGTGTGATTGCCTTAACATTCCCCTAATCTATTGAAATCTCACATGTTGGCAGTCAAGCAATTATTGGGGATCCAGCAGGCACTTCATTTGCCAAGCCTGATCTTGCATTGTCAAATAGTGCTAAAAAATTATTGGTGCCGATCTGTTGTACAAGGACCTATGTTCACGTTTACTATCAGTTTCTTAAGATGTGTGTGTGTGGTGTATTTATTATAGGAAATACATGCTGCTGTCACTAACAATGCAGTAATCTATAGTAAATCATGTGATGCCATTTATTCTTATCCTTTTTTTCTGCCTCTAACCAATATTCAATTAAGTGTCATTTGAGTGTGGCAATTTAGAGTGTGATAGTTTTAATTTGGGTTTTGCTGTGCATTACTGGGCAAGAGGCAGAAAAGATAGAGAGTGTTTCAGCGAATGGTGCATATCTTCTACAAAATAGAGTTGGGAGATAAAATAGAGCCAGTGAGAAGCTACTGAGCTTCTAAAGAAATGGAATGATAACAAAACAGCACAAACTGTAAGGAGTCTTTTTATGGCTTTAAAATACCAAAATAAATAAAGTAAGTAGAATAAAGAGAAAAATGTTACCCTAAATATAAAAATAGCTCAGTTTTTAAATGCAGCATTAAATCTTGGCCAAACTGAATGTTATTGGTCAGTTTTTCCATTGTGTCAATAGAGAGCCAATTTGTATGGAGAGACTGAACACATTCCATCAGAATATAAATTGACACTGTTCTTCCATCATAACAAAATATCTTCTTTGCTACATTGCATGCTGGGTAAATCCAAAGCTTCATGTTGATAAATTCCATGTATTTAGTGTATAATTCAACATTATGTTAACACCTTTATGGCATATTTCTAGATAATGGGCTTGTTCCACTATTGTCCTGTTTGGTTTAATATTTGCAAATTTGTAAATACTTGCAAATATTAAACCAAACAGGACAATAGTGGGAAAAGCCCATATCATGTGAAAATATCCCCTCCATTATTTTAAACTTCCAGAGTAATGATCTTGACAGTCAGTCTTTTCTAAGCATTTTCAGGTGTTCCGTAAATATTAAAAATATATATATCTTTTGTAGAGTTAATCACTTTTTAAAGATCATATGGAGCATACTTAATGGTTTTTTAACTTTTAACTATTGATTTATTAATATGGGACATTCCAAGGAGGAGTCATTTTATTGATCATTTACAACATGAAAGGCATAGCACAGTATAACCTCATCAGATTTGTGTGGCTATATTTTGTGCAGCACTTAGAATGACAATGTTTGCATAGTGATTGAAGGGGAAATGGTGTTTCCCCAATGACAAAATGATGCTATTTGAGAAACTGCGCTGAGAAACTATGGTATCCTTGTGAGAGAAGAACTCCCTAGAACAAAGATGGCGGGATCCTTATGGATGAGAGAATGTTACACTCTTAAACCAACCAACAATATTTTGAAAACAGCGCTATGTAATTTACAATTATGCATCTAAAAATGGAGTTGTTTTTGAAAGCATGACAAATCCATCTTTCCTCTTTTTCCAGGACCCCCCTTCACGCTGCTGCCTTTGCAGACAACATCCATGGTTTACAATTGCTTTTGCAACACCAGGCTGAGGTAGATGGAACTGACCAACTGGGGAGGACCCCTCTTATGATGGCTGCTGAAAATGGCCAGACAGCGGCAGTTGGTAAGTGGTGCATCTTCTGTATTTATGCTTTTCTCTTTTTTGTAACAATGCTATCCTGTTCTTTCCCTGAGATCAGTTTAAGGGAGAGCCCACAAAAATACTAGATAAGCATCTCTGAAGTGTTCTCTTGGCCCAACATAGAACTGATACTGTCTGGTTCAGTTTCTTGCCAAGCTCATTTCTGTTAGATGTTTGGCTAATTGTTTCGTGAAGATGTAGATATTCTGTTGTTTTTTTGGGGACAGCTTTCTACAGTTATTTTCAGATTACTTTTTCCTTCTTAATCTGTTTATGTGTTGTCATTCTTCTGTCTACCATTATCCTAGGGAGTAATTAGGAGCAATACTTGGGCTCATGCAAGCACTTTCATTAATTTTGCGCAATATTTTTGTGCCTGAGATCAATATTTTTTTCTTCCATCGTCCGGAAATAATAACAACATCCTGCTTTCCACCAACATCTGTGACATAATGTGGATTGCTTCACCCTGCCTTACTGTAGGCCCAAGCTTGCCTTGGCTTGTAGGGGGAAGCAACAAGCCCACCTGGGAGGGTCTCTGGTTATTTGAGGGCAGGACTCCTTCTGACCTAGAGGATGGTTGGGAACAGAAGAGCTACTGCTGCTTAAGATCTATTTGTAGTTATCCTTAAGAAATCTCTAAACTATCCCTTTGCAATTCTTGGGTCAATATATTCCATTTAGACGCAATTACCAATGGCCTAATTATGCATATCATTCACAGACGGCTAGACTGATTACAAGTATACAACCATTGTGAAGCCTTCCCCCATCACATTTTGTAATGTGTAAAGGTCATAACTATGGAATGAAGTGGGATGGTTAAATTTCATTTGAGGGTGAAGTGTATTGTCCCATAAAAAGATAAGAGGAAAAGGAAATGTCACAACCTAGTGCAGTGGCTCTCTGTATCCTGAGAAGAAAGACATTTTGTGACAACAAAAGAAAAAGGCCTATAGCACTAGGCTTGTTTAACTTCAGTTTCCTTCCTTTCTGGATAACCCTTTTCTGCCTTGATGCTGGAACTCTGAAATGTCCAACATTGTTCACCTTCTGACAAAAGCCATATTATTTCAGAAGAGGACAGTGACATCAGTCTAATGGTATAGAAGGTTTGTGTCTTGATTGTTAGATTGAGGTGCTCCACTGCTTATTTGATTTTTGCCATTTGCCATTTTAATGTTGGAAGTTGGCTTATATGACTTTGGGGTGAATGGCTATATCTTTTAAATAAAAGTTGGCACTATCTCTCATGTTACATCTCCACACATTTTCAGAGTTCCTGCTATACAGAGCAAAAGCAGATCTAACTGTGCTGGATGTCAACAAGAACACAGCTCTTCACCTGGCCTGCAGTAAGGTACAGTGTCCAAAAATTGGATCTATAAAATAGATTTTTGGAGCCTGTCTTTTGTAGAGCTTTAAGATGTAATGTTGGAAGATTATGATGGAAGTGATGCCAGATGTGATTAATTCACTTTATTTCCAAATAATGAGTTCATATAATTTGGACTTTTACTGGGAAGAAGAAATGTGGACCACTAGATATATATGGGATTTTTTTTTATTTATGTTTATTAGGAATTTTACATAGAGTAAAAGACAAATCAAAGGAAAGGAAAGACTAAAATTATGAAATACAGTAACTTTTTTTCAAGTCATTTATTAAAAATTATAATTGCAATAGTAAAAACTAATACAAACTAAAAGAAAGGTAGAAAAATAGAAAGAAAGGGGAAAAGGGAAAATATGTAAAGAAAAGAAAGAAAAGTAAGAATATAGTAAAGAAAAAGAAAATAAATATATAAAGAAGTTACTTCCAACCTTCATTTTTATACAAGTATAAACAATTTTAGTAACTTTTTCACCTCCTCTTAAATTACAACAAATGATCTCTTCCCATATCCCATCTCTTATCTATAAACAAATCCATAAAACATCACCATTTCAGTCCTGGTGTCAGCAGAAGTCCATTAAGGGTTACCAGAAATAACTTCTCTATTTTAACCTTGATCATATAAACCAACTTTATATTTCTTCTAACAATCTTAATCTTTAGTCCATTCAAATAATGTCACAGAACTTGATTTCATTTCTTCTTTGTCCCTTCTCACAAGATTCTTCAAAGCTTTAACAAGTCTCTTTCGTAAGTCCAATATAGAAAAATTATCCAGATCACTCTCTTGGTTTATTGTTTGTATGTCCCTTTTAATTATTAAAACATCAGCCAGTTGTTTTTTTTAATGTCCAGTATAACATCTTTTTCCATGTCATTCTTGTAGCCTGTCATTTGTAAATCCACTT